GTCCCAGATGAGCGACCAGCCGACGCCGCAGCCCATGGACGTGGACCGCGAGCCGACGTCGTCGCCCGCGCCGTCGAGCCCCGCGGTCCCCCCGACGCCGATGACCCTCCCGACCGCGCCCCCCAAGGCGAACGGCATGGCCCCCAGCGGCGAGCAGCCGGCAGCGGCAGCGGCAGCGGCAGCGGCAGCAGCAGCAGCAGCAGCAAACTCGCGGCCGGCACCCCCTCCGCACCGCTACACCACGAGCCCGCCGCCGCAGTCAGCAACCTACGCAGCCACCCCCGAAGCCGCCTCCCCGCCCGTCATCCCGCCGACCATCGACGCCGAAGAGTACAAGGCCGCGGGGAACAAGTTCTTCAAGATCCGGAACTACCCCAAGGCCATCGAGGAATACTCCAAAGGTAAGGCTGCCCCCGTCCCATTAACCTCGAGTCGCGTGCAACCCTGTATCCCGCAACACCAAGATCGCCCCAGCTAATCAAGACCCGCCAGCCATCGAAGCCGATCCCAAGAATGGCACGTACTACTCGAACCGCGCCGCCGCCCTCATGTCCGCGGGCCGCTTCGCCGACGCCCTGGCCGACTGCAGGTCTGCCGACGAGCTCGATCCGGGCAACATGAAGATTATGCTGCGGCTGGGCCGGCTGTACACCAGTCTCGGGCGGCCGGACGAGGCTCTCAAGGTGTTCGAGTCCATCCACGCCACGGCAAAGGACAAGCAGCAGGCACTGGTCATGCAGAAACACGTGCGGCAGGCGGAGGAAGTGCTCACCACCGGCCACTCGGGCTCGCTGGTCCTGCATGCCCTGACCGAGGCCGAGCGCGGGCTGGGCTCGGGCGTCGAGAAGCCGCGGAAGTGGCAGCTGATGCGGGGCGAGGCAAATCTGAAGATCGGCGCCGCCAACTCGCTCGGCGAAGCGCAGAGCATTGCCCTGTCACTCCTCCGGAACAACAGCCAGGACCCGGATGCACTCGTGCTGCGTGGCCGCATCCTGTATGCGCAGGGCGAGAACGACAAGGCATTGCAGCATTTCCGGCAGGCCCTGAACTGCGACCCGGATTTCAAGGCGGCCGTGAAGTTTCTACGGATGGTCCAGAAGCTCGAGAGGACAAAAGAAGCAGGCAATGCCGCGTTCAAGGCAGGGCGGTACCAGGAGGCCGTGGACACATACTCCACGGCGCTCGAGGTGGATCCGCTGAATAAGAACACCAACTCCAAAATCCTCCAAAACCGGGCCTTGTGCTACACAAGGCTGAAGAAGTGGCAGCCTGCAATTGCCGACTGCGACAAGGCTCTCGAGCTTGATCCCGCGTACACCAAGGCCCGCAAAACGAGGGCGAAAGCACTGGGCGAGTCGGGCAACTGGGACGAGGCCGTTCGCGAGTACAAGGCGATTCACGACGCGAATCCGTCAGAACCAGGCATCGCAAAGGAGATCCGCAATGCCGAGCTGGAGCTGAAGAAGAGTAAGCGGAAAGACTACTACAAGATTCTTGGGATCGAGAAGGACGCCACTGAAACAGAAATAAAGAAGGCATACCGGAAGCTTGCGATTGTGCACCACCCCGACAAGAACCCCGATGATCCGCATGCCGAAGAGCGATTCAAGGAGATTCAGGAAGCTCATGAGACGCTCAGTGACTCGCAGTATGTGTTTACGAACTTGACTACTTGTGCATATATTCTAACTCGGACCCAGGAAACGCGCCCGTTACGATTCTGGGGAAGACCTCATCGACCCGTCAGAAATGTTCGGTGGTGGGGGTTTCGGCCACGGTGGTATGGGTGGTGGCGGTGTCCAGATTGACCCTGAAATGCGTGAGTACTCCTGGTTGTTCCAATCTAGTTCTTGTTTAACGTTGCATAGTCTTCAACATGTTCGGTGGCATGGGCGGAGGTCGCGGCGGCGGTGGTGGAGGTTTCCACTCCTTCGGTGGCGGCAGCCCTGGCGGAAACCCCTTTGGGGGCATGGGCGGCATGCCTGGGGGTGGCATGCCTGGGGGCGGGGGCGGTCCCCGACGAGGTCAGCAGTTCCAGGGCGGCTACCCCTTTTAAGCCTGCGGCAGGTCTTGGTCTCTCGAGACATCTTTTCTACGTTTCGTGTCTATATCTTAGGCTACGACCACTCTCTCACTCTCCCACATGGGCTAGTTACATGTATGGCGTTGGATACTATGGGTATAAGCGCGAGCTTTCTGGCGGCTCGTCATTAGACTGCAACAGCAGGGTAGGATGTCAGGGTCTTCTTTTGGTACTCTTTCGAGCGATAGTTACTGCATCGTGGCATCGGCATCGTTGTGCTGTTTGGCATTGCTGGGCGTCCTTTACAATTTTAATATCTATCTCGGATCTTACTGGGGTCTGGATAGGAATGCATCTCTGAGAGTCCTGCTATCATTTCCTGCTGTTCAGACTTTACCCCAAGCGAAAAAGGTGTGTATTGGATGAAATTGGAATGAGTGTACATGGTAGAGTCAATAGTGCAGTGCACAGTGACTAGAGTACTCTCTAACATCCGCACATCTAAGGGTTTGTGGAGGGCAGGCAGTGTCGTTACTATAGCCACTAAACTTAGACTGCGTTAGGTCTTTATATCTTGGCGTGCATACTAACCACAACCTTGAAAACTATTATCAACCATCTAGTCTTCGACAATCCACCCAGAACATTACAGCGCAAATTTTAGTAACCGTCGCAGGCCACCATTCTACTCGTAGAGCAAAGGCTACTCCCTACCTCCTACAGCAATATTTCCCACCTCCCAAAATTTGATGAGAAAGACCTTCAACCTCGGAATACTCCGACAAAGCCACTTTGATACTCCATCCTCATCAACGAAACCCATATTTGCCACTTCCGCTTCTCCATCCAGAGATCTGAAGATGCAGCGCCCCCGCCGACCAAACCGCCAACCCCGCCGCGGAAACAACCAATCCTCTTCCACAGACAACCCTCCTCCAAATCCAACATCAACATCAACACCCAACCCCAACCGTCCCTGGCACACATACACCCCCTCCCGCCCCTCCCGTTCCCGCTCCACTAACCCATCACACTACCCCACCCCTCCCTCTACCTCCAGACCCCAACCCCAAGCCCCCGTCCCATCGTTCTCGAGTATTTCCCCCGGCACACCTGTATCAATCGTCCTGAAAGTCGACCAGCCAACAGGGCGTGAGGTGCAGGGTATGGTTGAGGAGGTATTGACGAGGGGGGATCACCCGAGGGGGGTGAAGGTGAAATTGAGAGATGGGAGGGTGGGGCGGGTGCAGAGGTTGGTTGGGGAGGAGGATGGGAGGGAGGGGGAGGAGCATGTTGGGGGGAGGGAAGCGGGGTTGGGGAGGGATGGGGAAGGTGGGTTGGAGGGGTGGGGGTATGGGAATGGGAATGAGGATGGGGATGAGGTGTTTTTGGTGGGCGGGAGGGGGCGGGGCAGAGATGGGGGGAAGGGGGGAGTGGATAGGAGAAGAGGGAGGGGAAGAGGGGGAGGGAGAGGGCACGAGGAACAGGGTGGATTGGTGGGCGCGGATAGGGGCCGTGGAAGAGGTGCCGGGCGAGGAAGGGGAGGATTTACGCATGTCAGCGATGTGCGGGATGATGAGTATCTGTGGGATGAGTCTCGCCCTCAACCTCTCAGTGCATATTTCTCAAACCTCCATTTTGAAGAACAGCCCAAAGAGGAGGCACAAAATGAACAACCGGAACCTAGCGAATGGTCACAGGAGGAAAGGAGGTCGGTGCCAGAACTCAAGAGCGAAATGGTCAAGTGTCCTGTCTGTGGTATCTTTGAGGGCGATGCTAAGGCGGTGGCGTGGCATGTTGAGGGGCATTTTGGTTAGGGGTGAAGAATCTGTATCTCTTCAAATATGGCTCCTGATCTCTGGATTACATGGCCTTTATTCCAGGTGGAGTCGAGATCTTAACATTCCGGAATCGATGGACCTTTTTGTCTACTCACGAATGAGTGGCAGCGACCGATAGAAGATGGAACTTCATCTAACTCACATCATTCGGCCATGTTTTCGTCCCCATGGAGACAATATACGCCACTCCCTGGTCACACCGTACCCCACACATGAATCCCGAGGCTTTTCTCTGAGATCTTGTTGATGACTGATGGCAACAAGGTCGCTCAATCTCTCCCACGATGACTGATCGATACTGGATAGCGAAATTCTGTCTCCCCGAACAAAGATCCTAAAACTAAGCGCCTCTGCGTTTAAATCTATTCTTCTCAAGTTCTCAATGCTCATTCATTACCTCGCCAATTTGCCCTCGGCTATCTTGAATCAAGATGTCAAGCCAGAATGATCACTGGAACCACGACTTCGCACGCATGCTCAAGCTGGAGGATCCTACTTTACGCCACCCTCTCTATCAGAGATAATGATATTTGCTGGTAATGACTACAAACTATGGGAGCATGAAGTAGGAACGACTTTAGCGATACTCGGCAAGTGGTGATGGGCAGAGCTGAAGATCGGCATTTTATATTGATAGATGTTATTCCACCACAGGGGTTTGTTCGAGAACAATAAATACACGCTCACGATGTTGCGGCACTCTTGGATGCAATTCTTGGTCACACTGGACCCCCCTTTTTCAATTCTCAGCGATCCTATGTCCTCATGTATCATCGGGTAACGGTTGTTCCATGCTTGTGCTTGCGTCTTCACAAAAGCGATAGACGTCCAGGGTTCTTACAACAAGTAGTTATTCTCGATGACCAGCAACATGCGGGGTCTACGACCTATGCAGTGAAGAATATAGTGCAATCAGACTGTCCAATGCTATTTGCCATGACTCGCATGGCGTCCGTTTGCTTTTACTCCTACCCCCAACAACCACCCATAATCTTTCAAGCATTTGCGAGGACCATCGCCGCTCTTATCCCCCTATACAAACACAACTCCCCTCCCCCAGTCTCAAATTGCATCTTTCGAGCACCCAACACGCACAAATGTTCACCCCACAATGATGAGAGCCAAACCAATACGAAGGGCACATGGTCTAGTTGGTTATGACGCCCACAATCACGAGACGTCAGATAGGCGGCTTTAAAAATGTGAAGCGTGGGAGAGCTAGGTTCAAATCCTTTGTGTGTCCATTTCTTTTTGCTTATTGAGTATCTGCCCTTTGCCGGGAGTTCCGCTTTTGGATAGATAAAGACTGCGGCGAAATTGGGTGCGGCAGTAGTGCAGGATCTTGACTGCACGAGTATGTACGAAAAGATTGGAGTGTGTCTTTGCTTTCTTTTGATTGTTTACTGCCCTTATTCTCTGAGGTCTCTCTGTCGTATGTCTTCATATGTGCGCGTCATAAACTCTTAGCGGGTTGTTTCTCATCTGAAGCCTCATGCTCCACCCCCTGGGCCATGTGGACAAAATGCAACTGGATACGAATACTACCACTTAGTCCTATTCTTCTCTGGATACTCACGTGATTGATACCGGCCAGCATTCCGACCCGCACAGCCAGCGAACTCTCGGCAGATACCTGACCGTGCTCTTTCCCTCTTTTATTCCCCACCACTCTTCTATTCCAACAGAAAAAAGACAGTGCCGATCCATGAAACCACAGCCCCCCTTCTCCCTCTATTCGAACCCCAGGATCCCCCTCTCTACACCCACACACACCTCCTCTCCCCTATGTCCCATTCATGCCACTCGTCATCAAAGCAAACCTCCAATCAAGTCAACAGAACCAACAGAACCAATAGAAAGAAATACCCATCAAAGTACCCCTCCCATATCAAAAGGTACGAAGCGCTTTACCGTTCACAACAACAAAACCACATCCGGACATGCTACGAATCGTACACAGGTCTGCCCAAACAGACCACCAGGTAAAAGGAAAGTTCACAACGATCTGGGTAAGAAATACCCAGGTCAGATGACTATAACTGGTCCAGAAAACTCGGGATAAGGTTGGGGTGTCTCGGTCGCCGGAATAGATGCCTATGGTAATGTTTGGTGGTGGTGGTGGTGGTGGAGATGGGTTGATAGAGTGGATGTGTGGGAGTCGACAGACTAATTTTAAGGGGTTTGTGATGTTGTTGTGTGCTCTTAGGTTATGTGTTTTGTTGCACCATTTCCTCCAGGTCCCCTTCACTCGCGCCTTCCCCGTTTGCCGTTCCCAACTCACACCTTCCCAACCTCCAACCCCTGCTCTCCATCCCATCACTATCCCCATCAGCCAAAACACCGGACACGTGGTACAGTAGAAGGGACGTCCACCAAGCCGACAGGGATTCCAGAACATTGACTACCCGCTTCGGCGGCGGTCGGGTGAGTCCATTCTTTTTGATGGGTTACTGGGGGTTGGACAGATAGAGGCATCTTTCAAATGGCGTGAAGTGGAGTGAAGAGAGGTATGTACAGTCAATTCAATTTGTACCGCGCCCTTTTTTTGGTCCTCGGGTCATATCTATACTCTGAGTCGAGACGAGCCATTTCAATGCAGCAAGAAGTATCCTTGAATAATAAAGTGAACTGGTCTCTTAGCAACATACATCTATCTAACAATAATCTTCCATCAAGGAAGAAACCAGCTTAAAGCCGCGTATCCAAAAAGGGGTATACAGGGCAAAAGACCGCACGCAAATCCATCCTCAAGTGTTCATATCCACCCACCCCTCTCCCTCTCCTCCTTCTCACCTCCACTCCCATTGCTCCCACTCTTAAACCACCCAACCCCCGCATTAGCAACCCCCTTCCACCTCTCTACACTCCTCTTCTTCCCGAACCGATACTGCCGCTCCCTACTCTGCTGCAACCTCTGCTTAAAGCTGCCTTCGCCACCACCACCTCCAATCGTCAGACCTGCGAGTTCCATATCCTCTCTGACCTCTGCATCTCTGAAGCCCAGCGCTGAACCCCCTGCACGCTTCGAGCGCATGGAATTATTGCGGTGCAGAGTAGCCTTGGAGCCAATCGTTTCGTTGGAGCGCACGTGTCGCAGGCGGCGCTGCAGATCATCCATATCTTCGTTGGGGATGATGCGGCCTTTGCGGTTACTGGGCGGGGTGCGGTAGTCGAAGTTGGAGTTTACTCGTCGAAGACTGTATTTGCGCGGGGATTGGTCTAGGATTTCGCCTAGCTCCTGAAGCTCCACGGCTTGAGAGCGGATGCGGTCAAGGGACTGCATTCGCGGGGCAGCGAAGGCGCGGCCTTGGACGGACTCAGAGGGGCGACGGCCGATTCGCGGAGGAGAATGGGCGCGAGAGTAGGTGTGCGCTGTTCTTTTCTCTTCGATGGCGGCCGCTACTTGGGCGACGGAGTTAGGCACTACATCGAGAGAGTTCTGAAAAAGCATCAGCTGGCGTTTGGGTGAGGGGTGGCACAGATCGCATACCATGTGGATGAGGACTATTGGTAGTTGGACGGTCACAAGCTTGCTTTGGCATGTTAGCGATGATCGGTCAAGGCGTTCGGTTCGGAAACCTACGTGTGAAAGCTGCTGACGAGAACATTGAGGAAATATCGTACTTCAAAGTATTTGCCTGTAAAATTAGCTGTTGACTTTCAGACCACGGGTGAGGGGAAATACATACCACACTTCACCGTGGCATGTCCGCGAGGTACCTCGAGGTCGCAGGTACGAATGTGAGTTTGGTGAGCTGGAACACCATTCCAGCCAGCAGTGCCTTGTTTGATGTACGACTTGCTGAGGATTGATTTTTCGTTACTGTCAAATATGCGAGCCTGCCCGGCAGACTTTTCCATCGTACAAGCAGCAGCCTAGAAGCAATTCTTTAGCGCTCTGAAGTATCAGCATAGGAATGCTACAAAATAACGAACGTGCTTGTAGCAAAGAATATCTCTCTCTAGTTGCAGTTCGATTCGCTTGATGGTCTTCCGGCTATTATTCGCAATATGGACGTCGACGTAGATACCAGTTCCGCTAACCCAGACCTGGCGATGAAGGCCAGCGGTGACGCGAACAACGTCGACAGTGGTGTCCCGAGGTTTGATCCACTCATCCGAAGCAGTGAGAGGACTTGGAAGAGACATGAGTGCTTTCTCGGCTAGTTCCTCGTCAGCATCATGTTCAAACCGGGGTAATTCAGTGACCCACGATCGTAGACTGAGAGGACAGAGATATCCTCTGAAGTGCGAACTATGTACTGTTTGCCTTGATCGCGGATGAGTAGTGAGACGCAAAGCACGTATCGTATTCTTGCATTCTTTGATTGAAATGGCGGAGGTCCCACATTGAGTGGGAGACTTAGGATGAAAGGGAGATTGGTGACTGACGGCATAAGATGCCAGAAAGGATCATCCGAACCATTCTGCTCCTGCGTGTCGACCATGTTTTGGGGGGGCGGATTTGCCCCATCGATCAGCTCAGTGGCCAGATTCAGGAAGACAGATCGTCTGTTGCCGACCATTTCTTCCAGCCCAAGCAAATCGATGGAGATCCTGGCAATGTCTAACGTTCTTCTATGGCGTATTCGCTCGGCATCATCGACGGTAATCTGGGCAGTACCTTCAATCGAGCCTCCGCCCACGAATATGCCTGCGGATAGATCTAATCCAACCTCCACTCGGGGATGGCGGTGCGTAGGGAACTCTATGAGCTCGTTTGATACAGGTTCACGGATGAATGTTCTTGAGGGGATACGTCGGTGGGTGTCGTGTGACACTGGGTCAAAACGATCAGCTACTTGACGTAAAGGGGATACAGATGACCCGCGCCGCGGGATTGTGTGACCTATGCCTCGCGGAGGGGGTGCTGGTATTGAAGGTACATTTACAGTGTTGAGTGATGGGGCTGCGGGGACTCGTTGCGTTATAGGGAGGAGGGGCATAGGTGGAGGCGGCTGCCTCGTGCGGGAAGCACTGCGGGTGCGTGCTCGAGATGATGAGCGTGGTGGTACACTACCGTGCGGAATGCTGTATATACTGGAATAACTATTGTCCCCCGGGCTCGGCGGGGATGGGGTTCTCGAGCACCGGCCACGGGGACCAGATCTAAGGCCATTGCTTTCTATGCTATTCTTCCTCTCGGGCTCCCGGTTCTCAGCGTGTCGACTATCGATGCTGGGACGATGCCGAGACACGACCGACGGTTTCCGCGTTATGGAGTTGCTTCGGGCAATCGAGTGCTCCGAGAAGAACTTTTGGGGGACAATCTCAGCCAGGCTAGGCTCGGTGAGCTCACGAATGTCTGAGAGGGGTCGCGTTTTTGCCCACGATGGAACGGTTGATAGCGCTCTCGGTTCTCCAAAAGTGCTCCCAACCATGCCTCCGCAGCCGATCACGTGGCCGATCACGTGGCCTGGCACTGGCCCGGAGGTGGTGATGTTGGAGCAGCTGTTGGCGCGTGCAAGCAGAGGACGATGCTCGGGGGGGCCCTTTCCAGGTGGCGGCTGCGCGAAACCTGAACCCTTCAGCATCCGATCCGCGATATCCGAGAGAGTGAGTGCCAGCATACCGCCAAGTGGATCGCTCTGAAGGGGGTCAACCGCGGCGGACCTGACCCCTTGAACGACGCAATGAGCACTTAGCTGGCGTATGGGCGTTAGATGTAGACGGAATGATTGATGCGGGCTCCGTTACTGCTGCAAACAGTGAGAAAGTCATGTGTGACTATGTCGATGCTCGATATCCTGGTGCTGTCGATTGAGGGTTGCAGGGGAGAGACGGCGTTGCATGGCGCCGTGGTGGAGATGTCGGTGAGGTGGAGAGGGAAGGTGCCGGCGAGGGTCTTGCTCGTTCTTGCTTGCATCTTGCTCTCATCTTGCTCTCATCTGTCGTCTCACTGCAGAGGAATTGTATACAGGAACGACTAGAATTGCGACTAATCTGGAAATACTTCTCTCGGTGCGTGCCATGTTCAATCTACGACAGGACCTATCTCCGTCTACCCGGACATCCATGGATGGCATGGCATTTAGAGGCGCTGTGTCTGGCCTCCCCCAGCAAGCTACGCTCCATGCCCTCCAGGCTCCTTCTCACAACTCGCCCTCACGCTCCACGATGTCAGCCCCTGATGTCGATTGGTGCATCACCTGACTGCCCGCCCCAACAGTGTTGGCCTGACGCTCGGAGCCCCAGAAGCGACCCCTGTCCGATCCGACCATCTGCTGCATCGAGCAGGAGACTA